GAACTAGTCTAGGTCTTTCCCGCGATTTTTTTCCGTAGTCTCATCTGCATTCGAATGTCGCAATTTGAATATTTAAGTTGTATCGTCGAGGCTGATTATTTTTTCGTATTTTTGATGATGCAATTTATTTCGTTATTTCATTCTTACGGATTCATAAATTAATACGCGGGGCGAATATTCTGTGTTTATTACTCATTTCCTTAGCCACGAAGTTCTAGCTATTATGAAAGTTAAAACGTATGGAAAAAAAAGAGATTTCATCTTGAGAATTTGTGATTAACTTGTTGTGCTACTTGTCAATCTGTAGGACTACACAATAGAAGACATTGTTAAGAATTGTCATGTCTGGAAGATCTGGAATTTATCTAAGATTGATAAATTAATGGATGTCGAAAGACTGATAGTCCTGAGAAGAAACATCAATGAACTTATAAATTACCTCTTGGTTTCTTGAAACTCGCTCGGATAATTAATTATGGCTTTATAATTAATTAAAAAAATCAGGATACCAATTAACGTGGTGACTTGATTGTGTTGAAATAACTACGCTAAAAGAATTTCGGATCCGACAATGAATGTTCAGTAATTATTGCTTTATTTTTTATTTTAAAATGCAAATTGCAATTTAAGTTAAATGTAAAACAACTTTTTCACATTGTTAAACTGTACGTACTTTGATGATTCCGGAGGCTTACAAAATGCATTTAATAGTTAACGAACATTGACACACTTTTATTGCGATTAAGAGTTTAACTGTTGAAATTTTAAGCTTGATCTTTAATAAAGTGATTTCGTAAAGAATAATAATACACGAAATATATAGACAAATACATCTAATCAATGTATCTAAGAGTTAAAACTAGAGTATGTGACTGAAAGTAGAAATACTGAAAAGAAGAAATATTTTAAGATGCAATAAATTAAGATTATACAATATCAAGAAATATAAGAAATAATAGAATAATAATTATTTAAAAAATACGTTTTTTTTTATAGTTCTCCTTTAGGTCCATTTATAGATTATATGTATTGAAGATTGAAATATATATTTAAAACTAAAAATATATGAAAAAAGTCAACTTATGTGATGATTTATAATATTTGCGATAATAATTTGATTCATATATGAATCTTTATACTTTTTTTATTAAACAAATGTTCATGTATGTAAAAAGAGATATACATAACCATTATAATAATTATGACAGGCATCTCGTTTCAATGATTAAATGAGGCGTCGTTGATTTACGTGAAGATAGAAATAGAGAGAAAGAAAGAAAGAGAAAGAAGAGACAGAGAAATATAACGCGTATAACGACATTTACCTCAGGTCGCGTAAATTGGCGGGATAATATATGTCCAAGGCACACAGGAAGCGAACGGTAAAGGGTTATCGTGGAAGCAACGCAAGCGAAATTACAATGCCGCGCATTCGGTAAGCCGACGAGCCTTCGTAATAAAACACGCGCGAAAGGAGCTGTTTTACATTTGCGTTTTAATTAAAAGTGCACCGTGCTTTTTGTCGATTCACGCACACGCACAAGTTACATGACTTTACGCGAGACCATTCGTTCGATCGGTCGTTATATTTTGCATTACTTTATTTGATAATTAAACAATTCGGAGCCTTCTATATTTATTTATTGAAATATCCATGTGCTGTCAAAAATTTCAAAATATATGTATTATAAATTCTCACATTATTTTTAAACGTCGAATTATGGATTTGTGAAGTTAGTACATTTTATTAATATAAAAAAGTAATGACAGTTTCAAGTACTTTTCATAGTTCTACTGTTAGTTTTCTACTGCAATTCCTTATATAAAAAGTCCCGCATTTTTTATAATAAAATATCAAAATTGAAAAAAGTAGCAGCCGAAACTCTGTATAAATATGATTTTAGGGCATAAAACTCTGCTAGAATTACCGAGAAATATCGTTGGAATTGCAATAAATTTTCAAAATGACATTTTTCTTCAAGTGTCGTGCTGCCTTCTGTATTTAAGATGTATTAAAATTAGTAATTGTTAAAATTTTTGTTTTTAAATTCCCTTTATTGATACAATTCGAATAATACTAACGGGATCTGTAGCTGAAAATGAAAATATTTATCTTTTTTTTGTATTTTAGAGGAAAAAAGTCACCTTAGATTCTTGAAATTAGTATATTAAGTATGTTACGGTTTTTTATTATGAAAAATGCTTTCAAAAATAAAAGAGTTTCTTTTATCTTTGAAAGATACTTTTAAACTATGAAAAGTGCTGTCAGAATTGTCATTATTTTTTTTACATGATGAATGTCATGCTAACTTTATAGATTCTTGAATTACTCTATTGATTGCTGCACCGATGATGAATTTTATTTATTTTTATGGTTAAGGTTAAATCTCACATGCTACATAATTGGAATATTATTAATATGCATTCCTGAATGCACTAAAGAAATTTTAATAATAAATTTTAATAATATATAGACCTTTATTTAATAAAAATTTGATAGAAACTTTACTACAATTTTACAGTGTTTATTATATAATAGAATATACAAAAAAATATATTTTTATTATTAAATATGTAACTTAAAGTTAAATTTTATATATATATTAAATTATTTTCTAAATAAAATTTGTTAAATATTAAGACAAAGAAGACAACGTTTTTAAAATAATAATATCTATTTAATGAACTTCTCTTTAGAACAAAATTTTCAACGTTATTGTCTGTAAAGAATTTTAGCACACACAATGTTAAAAAAATGGGAAAATATTTATTTTAGGAATATCATATTTACACAAATCTCATGTTATGTTTGTTGCGCAAGTAAAATTTAAACAAAATATAAATATTTCGTTGTATCTGCAATAAGGTACGTATTATTTAACATTTTACATATAATATATCTGACATAAAATGCTATTAAATCTTGGTTGAGAAAGAGAGAGAGAGAGAGAGAGAGAGAGAGAGAGAGAGAATTGGCTGATAGTTGTTATCTTAAATAATACTTGTCAAATTTTTTTGATAAGAAAGTTATATGAAAATTCACGAGTATTCATAAAGTATTCTTGTAGGTAATTGTTGCATGCGTTGACATTCTTGGAATTCGTTTTTACATGCGGAATTAATTAAAATGTGCAAAGTAAAAGTGATGTCCGAACCTCTTTCTTCTCCATATGAACCGACTTGCCACTGCTTCGCATTCGCGCTATCAAAGCACTTTGTGGTCAGCCACAATGCCACAATTGTGTTCGTGCCGGCCGCAAACACGCGCTTCACGTATCTGTACGACTTCGTAAGGTTTTTGTTGGTTCGTCAAGAATAATTAATGAAAATTTATCAGCTCTCTTTCCTTGCACCACAACCTCGTTCACCGGATCACATTTCCCTTGCTAACGTGATTGACGATAAAGCTTTTTACGTTTGTAAATCTTTTGCCACAAATGCCTTTGCGAAATACATTAGCGCATGTTGTGAGAGATAGTTTAATAGGCTAGGCTAATTCTTAATTTTTACGACAAATTCTTTGTAAGCTTGCGAGCTCATGTTTTTAATTTGATGCATATTATGGTATTGAAAAAGATAACATTTTTTGCAAATTAATTTTTCACAAATAATTAAATAGAAAGAAGAATATTATTATTAATATTATTATGTATTATAATAACATTTATGTACTTGCTCCCTAAATAGAAAGGAGAATATTATTATTAATATTATTATGTATTACAATACATTTACATACTTGTTTCCGAAATTCAAATACATTTTGCTTTTTTAAGATTTTAATTTGAATTTTAATAAAGTATAATTAAATTTTGTGATAAAAATATTTAACGTTGAATATTAAAATATTTAAATGTTATAATAGCTTTATTCTAAAATTTCCTCAATAATCTGCAAAATCGATTCCAAATTTATAGGAAATTTTGTGAAAAGTGTTCGGAGATTCCAGAATATACATTATATTATATCTTATTATATCTTATATTATATCTTATTACTGTGATTAACTTATCGTAACTTATTAGTACATAATTACTATCTTTGATTGAATTAAAGAGTTTAATTATGAAGAGTTATAATATGCACCTGTTTCTTTTTAAAGAATCTATAAAGAATTTATTCGGTATCTATTATTTTAACTCCATTTTCTATAAAGATCGAATGATGCATTCTCTTATGCATGAAGTTATTAAATATTCATGTAAGATATTATATATAGATCAAAATAATTCATTTTCATTCAGCGTTATTAAAAGAAATGGTGCATAAAATCGACTAATACGCCTTGCAGCCGGAAGTGGCGCGATAATTCATTATCGATTAATCATTGAAACACCGACGAATGTAGCATTATATCCGTACTGCCATTAATATCGATATCAGCTTTCACGATTAACGCCGATTCGCGACGGATTAAACTCGATTCACATCCGCGCGGAATCGACATTTCATGGGACTGTAATTTACTCTATAAGAGCACATTATAGAAAAAACTTAGAAAAAATTATTTGTTTTTTCTGAATTTCTTCTTTTTAAACATAAAAAAAAAATGTCCTCATATGATTTGCTGAAAATCAAAGCCTAATGTATCATAAATTAGGATCGTTATAATTTTGATATTTAATTTAATTTTTTTGTATAAATATATATAACATATATTTTGTATCAATAATTATCAATTATATCGACCATTGTGAGAAAAAATAAAAATTTACATCTGCAGTATTGAAATCTATTTCCATGAGATTGGTTTCAAAGAAGCTTCCATTTGTGTACGTCATGCATCAATTTCACGCAAACGACAGAAATCGAATGCACCCTGTGCAGCTTTAAGGTTCCGCAAGCTGCCAAATATCAGGCAGCGTTTTCCTCGGCGACACGAGTCGCCAGAAGAAACCCTCTCTCTCGGAGGGTTGGGCGACGCGGCGGTGTGTTCGCTTGGGTGTTTCGAGGCCGCGTAGTAGGGAGCTTGCGCCTAGCCAGGCCGACTGGCTCGAGCTTGCGAGCTTTCTAGCAGCAGCCAGTCGCCGGCTGCCGGGCCACGACCTCACATCAACCCGGCTGCTCGTTCGGTTAGTTCGATACTGCGCGAGAGAGCTTTCACAGCCACGTTTCTGCTAATCTCTTGAGTACGCATCTGAGCTTTTAATAGACTACATCTTCTGCTGCAATCTTCATCTACCCATAAAAATGTTACGAAAAGGGACAAGCTCCGCGAAGTTCCAAAAAGACTATGTTAAAATTCTTAATCGTCCGCAATCTTCCTTGTACAGAGTGTCCAATTATTGTAAGCTTTTACTGTCATACTCGTTACATTAACCGTGAAATTGTTCGATTGACCTGTTTTGACTTTCTCTTTATATTATTTGCAACAAGTATATTACGCGAGGTGTCAAGTGAAAATTTCCGTAGTGCGCGGACTTGGTCGGAAAACAGATACAAGTTTTAAGCGCGGAATTTGGACGTGTAAGAATTTGTGTCAGAGATTGTGGTATCGAGGATTGAAGGTCGAGGTCGAGGGTGTGAGAATTACATCGTGTGAAGCAAGTGACGCCCATCAGTTGTTTTTCCGAAGAACAGCGGAGTATGGCGGATGGGTGACAGACGCGGATCCACTGTAGGCTGAAGGTGTTTTTCAGCGTCGGTGGGACCATGTGAGGCTTCGACCATGAGGGTGAGCATGTGATTATAAAGCTTTTTTTATAAACTTCAATGGTTAGAGGGTTTCTCGAGTTTCTTTTTCATTGTAATACTTTTATGTGACTAGATAATCTAAGACAAATGCGATTTAAGAAATTCGACTCTACAAAAGCATTGTTATCTAAATCGAATGTTAGAAATCGTGATGCTAATCAGTCAATATTATATAAAAAAACTGTGAATTATATTATATTAGAATGATTTGTGTTGGGATTTAAATTTCAAATTTACTTTCGCCAAATGTTTCCAAACTTACAAAAAGCATCAAAATTACATAAATTTAAACTGACTTTATCTAATTATAATAATGATAACATTACAAATTATAACATATAAGAAATTTTGTTTATGTTGCAAACATAAAATTTTTAAATATATTTAAACCGAACAATATTCAACAAATATTTATTTTAACTATTTACTTGTAAAAAATATTTTACAATAGTGATTTTTGTTAGTATTTAAAATGACATATAAACATTATTTTTATAAAATGATTAATAAATGTGACTTTTTATCAAAATACATTACATAATCATTTTTATTTCAATTATTGTGTTTATGTAGCAGTTACTGAATAATTGGGTTATTAAAATTACTTTTAACTTAATATTTATAAATATTTTTTTCTAAACAAAAAATATATAAACAGTACATTGAATATATTATACATTAAATATATTATACAAATATAAAATTATTTATTGTTTAATGTATTGAAAAAAGAACAAATAAACTAAATTAAACACGTTAATTGATTTTTATTTTATTTAAATAGAATTTTATGAAATGAATTAATATAATTATTTACTCTTAATTTAATATTAATTTAATATTAAAAGGAACATGAAAAATTTTTACGGAATATACAGAGAGAATTATCGGAAGTTATAATCACGATTTCCATTGAACGAACATATGGGATACCTAATATAGCTTTTCACCTCTTTGAAACAGCACCAATTATTTCATGCTAACTAATCTCTGTAATTGATTAACTGAAAGCAATTCAGTAGCAAATTATTTCTCTTGAAATGTACATTAGTATGGGTGCCGACATGCTTGGATATGTACTTGCTACGTGTTACTCAATTTCAGTTTGCATGTTACAGACCATTTGCGAAGGGAAAAAAATACACGTAGAAACTACTTCAAACTTTATTTTATGAAATATATCTTTAAAAAATATAACTTGTTAATGAACTTTTATTTGTTTAAAAGATTTTATAGCCATTTATTTAGGAACTTATATTAAGAATTTAAATCTTGATCTAAATAATATCAGTCTGTAATTGTCTTTATGAGATAATTTAACGCCAAATAAAACGCAGTTGAATGCGACAAAACGTAGTAAAGAATGATTCAAGTGACAACAGATTAAAGTCATCTGGGGAATTACAGTGGGTTAGTTCTCCGTTGCCGTCGACCCCGTAACACCAACGCCATAATACCCCTAGGCGAATTTTCATCCATGATAGTTGGAGCGCAACGTGGCATAACTTCTGCAAACTTAGCTGAGTCAAATTGGGAAGTATCCTGGACTGCGGTACTTCGAAATGACTTAATCGATGATTTTGTATCATCTTAACTATCTACTAAAATAATTATCTCTTCTAATTTAAATTATATGCACAATAAGGTGTTTAATATTACAAATATAAATTTTTATCTTATCTTTTAAATTCAGTAAAATATCCAAATATTTTCTTCGTATTCCATGCAGGATAAAAGTAGATATAAAATGTGCATTTAATAAGATGTGCATTTAATAAGAGATTTAAAAAAAGTTATATTTAATTTAATTTATGTGTTATGTAAACTTGGAAATTAAAAGTTAAAACTTATTTTTTTGAATATAACAAAATTTAATTAATATTTAATATTATACTGTCTGAAAGATGATAACAAATTATTCCTAAATTCAGAGAGGTTCCTAACTACGTCGCCTCCGAGATGCTGAACCACTATTCGAGCCTATTAAAAGATGCATAATGTGATAAACTCGGAAACTCGTCGCCATACTAGGCAAGTTCGGTCGCAAACTTGGGTGGTAAATTTTATTTGCACGGCTAACACGTCGGTACTTGCCGAAGATTTTCCCCTTGATAGTTTCGGGCACAGGTTGAAAAAAAAATTGCTCGAGAGACACTCACGACGTACTTCACTTTAAGCTCCAGTTGGCGCGAGAAATTTCGAAAAGTTCGAGACAGGTGTCGACTGAACATCCTCCAAGATAAATTGCACGTCTCGTCTGACAAAAAAAATCCTGTTTTAAAATTTCAAGCGAATTAAACTTGCAAGTATCTGGTTTTGTGTTGTAAACATCATCTTGGCAAAGTAATTTTACTGTAATTACAATCTTACTTTAATTGGAAATATTCAAAATTAAAATTAGAGAGAGCAAAGTCTCATATTTCCAATGATCCGGTGAATACAGAAATGATATAAAAATGGAAGATGTGCTAGTAAGAAACCGCCAATTAAGAACATAATCAGCAACTGCTCTCAGACTTCTATAAATAAATGCTGGAATCTGCGAGCCTTCCTTGTATTTCAAGCTTGATATTTATATTAGCAATGCAAATTGGAGTTGGAGTTGCGGCTACCGCTGCAACAACATTCAACGCAGCACGACTACATAACATTCTGTGAACGTTTACATAAAAGTGAAATTAGTAGATATAAATAGTTTACATGTGTACATCTCTCTTCTTTTTAAATGTAATGAAGTTGCAATTTTATAGAAGTAATTTCGGTGTAGAATTAAATGGAACTCAGGCTTTAAACACACGAGTGAGAATTATGGTTCTTTGACATCAAGTGGAATACAGTTTTCATTTATGCTTTTTTCCAAAGTAATTTACTTGTCAACATAAAATATAGAAAATATTTCAAGCCGTTGAAAAATACAAACAATATGCATTTACAGCAAAGTACGTATATCGTTGTGCAATGCTATGCTATTTGTGTTGTGGAATTTTAAAAACTTCTCGTTAACCATAAGTGAAATAACATGTTTACCTCTCTAAAATAGTTAGAAAATTTTATAACGATGTTATGTTTTTTCATATTCTGAAAAATTCTAGATTCAGATTTATTTTTCTGCGAGCAAATAATTATTTTAGGCATAAATTTAATACACGTGGATTATAAATAATAAATTTTATATCTTTATAACATGTTTTATTAGACATAAAAATATTTATGTTTTTTATCGAGAAAAAATTATTTATCTTTTCATAATCAAAGTTGATTAGATAAAATTTAGATTATACAATTTTAATTTAAAACTATGCTTTTAATTAAATCAACATTTAAATAGTTTAAAAGTGCTAAGTTTAAGTACGAAGAAGTTGTTGGAAGAGACGCAATGTCAGACCGTAATATAGTCAGATTCTCATTAAAGTGAAATTGAAAATGTTCAAATTAAATTAATTACGCCACTTCCAATATAAATAATCCATTTTAATCTTAATTTATATTTTCTATAATTAATTTTGATACAGAAATATGTGATATATTTAGCGTACATTGATATATAATTATGTATATAAAACCAAACTCGTCAAAATTTTCATTCGACACAACTGTTTTCATATAGAAATTTGTTACAAAATTGTGTAGTAAATGTAATGAATACTACAGTAATTGAATTAATGGGATTTCGATTCTCGATCGATTCTATGAAATCCGTTTACAATTGATATAAAATGATTTTATTGTAATAATATATCGCAGTGTGTTAAAAACAAGTTTGCGTTATTGAAGAAAGATGTAAATATTTTTGATGAATATAAATTTGAATATAAATTAGATATAGCTTGATTAATTAATTAATTATCATGTAACATATAGGAGAAACATAATCGATTAATTGAACAAAAATATAATACGAGATTTGATATTGGGTATGGCATATATATATATACGTGCATATTATGTTGTATTATTGTATACATATTATGTTACCATACCTATATGAACATGCGGTAATTGAGCAAAAGCAAAATAGAAAATAGCTGCGCATGTTAGCCGGTATATAATACAAGATTATTATTGAATTATTTTTATATTTAAATTGTCTTTATTAACAGTAGTCTTTATATCTGATATAAAAAGAAGTTAAGATTGAGATTAAAAATCTCATAATACGTGCAATATGAAATAATTTCGATCTAAAAAATTTTTTAAAGTAATATTTGGTTTTTGAAAATTTTTCATTATATATATATATACACAAGGAATTTATATTAATATTATTCCAATAAAAGCACACCAGAGCAAATGATTAAAAAATTTTTATTTCGTGATATCATTTAATCACGTTTTTATCGCAACTATTGCTACATGATTCATTATCTATAGATCTAATTCTGTATTTAATTATTGATGAAAATTTTAATAACGAATAAATATAAAATTTATAACATGTAGAGTATGCAATCAGTACACACAATAATAATTTGCATAATCGATATATTATAATATTGTATAATAGATATTCTTCCACATACATAACATTTTTAATAATTTTTAATGTTAGTTGGAATTTTCAATATTATTGGAAATCTCAAAAACAAACGAATAAAATAATTTGTGAAAATGACAAGGTAATTAATACAAAAATTTCTCTTAATCAAAAAATGATAATTATTTCTTTTTTTATAATAAAGAGTTATATACGAAATATGAACAATGTAAATACATATAAATATAAAAGTTCTTGATGACCTAACCAACAGGAGGGAATCACAATATGCCTGGATCATCGAGAATACAGCTGAGTGAGGGCTCGATTCGCAACCGTCTAATTATGTATTCCCTCGTTGATCGAAATCCCCGTTTTCCATCCGAGCGACCATACTCGCGCCGCCAACCAACGAGACACACTTCGATGGTATCCGCGCCAGTTCAAGCGGAACATCTTGTATCGCTCGTCCATAAATCGCCAACGGGCGCGCAGCGATATCGTTA